AGAATGCGACTACGACTGCGAGAACAGCAGAATTCTACAATAGGATTCTCATCTGAATCTTAAGGGGAATGCTTCCAGATATGCTGCTACACATCGCTGTTAGGTTGCTTTGCCGGGATATTTTTTACCTAACAGCGAAGACTGATAGGTTTCTAGTAGGGTCAAAAGAGAGCATCATGACGCCCCAGGGGGGTCTGGGCGCGATCCGGGGGAGGATGCCAGGGATTCCTTTTTTAGCAAACAGTAACGCACTTCGTGGTCTTCGAGTTCCCAGAACTCCATTCCTGGGCATGATTTTAAATGCCCAGAGCCAACTGTAGGCCACTTCGTGTTCTTCGAGTTCCCAGAACTCCATTCCTGGGCATGATTTTGAATGCCCGGAGCCAACTGTAGGCCTCTTCGTGGTCTTCGAGTTCACAGAACTCCATTCCTGGGCATGATTTTGAATGCCCGGAGCCAACTGTAGGCCACTTCGTGGTCTTCGAGTTCCCAGAACTCCATTCCTGGGCATGATTTTGAATGCCCGGAGCCAACTGTAGGCCACTTTGTGTTCTTCGAGTTCCCAGAACTCCATTCCTGGGCATGATTTTGAATGCCCGGAGCAAACTGTAGGCCACTTTGTGTTCTTCAAATTCCCCGAATTCCATTCCCGGGCCACATTTTGCATGCTGAGGCAGGCTGATGCTGAGGCTGAGGCAGGCTGAGGCTGAGGCAGGCTGAGGCTGAGGCTGAGGCTGCAGGCAGACTGAGGCTGAGGATGAAGCAGGCTGAGGCTGAGGCTGAGGCAGGCTGAGGCTGAGGCTGAGGCTGATGCAGGCTGACGGCGAGGCAGGCTGAGGCTGAGGCCGAGGCTGAAGGCAGACTGAGGCTGAGGCTGAAGCAGGCTGAAGCTGAGGCTGAGGCTGAGGCAGGCTGAGGCTGAGGCTGAGGCAGGCTGATGCTGAGGCTGAGGCTGAGGCTGAGGCTCATGCAGGGTGAGGCTGAGGCAGGCTGAGGCTGAGGCAGGCTGAGGCTGAGGCCGAGGCTGAAGGCAGACTGAGGCCGAGGCTGAAGCAGGCTGAGGCTGAGGCTGAGGCAGGCTGAGGCTGAGGCTGAGGCAGGCTGAGGCTGAGGCTGAGGCAGGCTGAGGCTGAGGCTGAGGCAGGCTGAGGCTGCGAGGCAGGCTGAGGCTGAGGCTGAGGCTGAGGCAGGGTGAGGCTGAGGCAGGCTGAGGCTGAGGCCGAGGCTGAAGGCAGACTGAGGCTGAGGCTGAAGCAGGCTGAGGCTGAGGCTGAGGCAGGCTGAGGCTGAGGCTGCAGGCTGATGCTGAGGCAGGCTGAGGCTGAGGCTGAGGCTGATGCAGGCTGAGGCTGAGGCAGATGAGGCTGAGGCCGAGGCCGAGGCAGACTGAGGCTGAGGCTGAAGCAGGCTGAGGCTGAGGCTGAGGCAGGCTGAGGCTGAGGCTGAGGCAGGCTGATGCTGAGGCAGGCTGAGGCTGAGGCTGCAGGCTGACTGCAGGCTGAGGCTGGAGGCTGAGGCTAGGCAGGCTGAGGCTGAGGCTGAGGCTGATGCTGAGGCTGACAGGCTGAGAGCTGAGGCTGAGGCTGCATGAGGCAGGCTGATGCTAGGCTGAGGCGAGGCTGAGGCTGAAGCAGGCTGAGGCTGAGGCAGCGGAGGCTGAGGCGAGGCTGACGGCAGGCAGGCTGAGGCGGAGGCCGAGAGCTGAAGGCAGCTGAGGCTGAGGCTGAAGCAGGGTTATGCTGAGGCTGAGGCTGAGGCTGAGGCTGAGGCTGAGGCTGAGGCTGAGGCAGGCTGAGGCTGAGGCTGAGGCTGAGGCAGGATCAGGCTGAGGCAGGCTGAGGCTGAGGCCGAGGCTGCAGGCAGACTGAGGCTGAGGCTGAAGCAGGCTGAGGCTGAGGCTGAGGCAGGCTGAGGCTGAGGCTGAGGCAGGCTGATGCTGAGGCAGGCTGAGGCTGAGGCTGATGCAGGCTGAGGCTGAGGCAGGCTGAGGCTGAGGCCGAGGCTGAAGGCAGACTGAGGCTGAGGCTGAAGCAGGCTGAGGCTGAGGCTGAGGCAGGCTGAGGCTGAGGCTGAGGCAGGCTGATGCTGAGGCAGGCTGAGGCTGAGGCTGAGGCTGATGCAGGCTGAGGCTGAGGCAGGCTGAGGCTGAGGCCGAGGCTGAAGGCAGACTGTTGCTGAGGCTGAAGCAGGCTGAGGCTGAGGCTGAGGCAGGCTGAGGCTGAGGCAGGCTGAGGCTGAGGCTGAGGCAGGCTGAGGCTGAGGCTGTGACTGCGACTGCCGTTGCTACTGCGACTGTCATCGCAAATGCGACTACGACTGCGAGAACAGCAGAATTCTACAACTGGATTCTCATCTGAATCTTAAGCGGAATGCTTACAGGTATGCTCCTACACATCGCTGTTAGTTTGCTTTGCCGGGATAATTTTTTGTTCCCAACCATCCTGGGGTGTTGGGTCCTCGTTTTGAAGAGACGGTCCCCGCGTTCCTCCTCCCCTCCTCCTCCCCCTGCCCCTCCTCCCCTCCCTCCTCCTTCTTCCATGCCCTTCGCCCACCCAGCACAGCGTTTCGTGGCCCCATAGGGAGCTCCACCGAACCCCGCCGGTGGGACCGCCCGCATGCGTCCGCCACCAACCAGCACAGCCCTTGCTCCCTGCGTTTC